ATAAATATAGCATATAGAAGACGAACCTGTGACAAGACAGCATCCTACCAAGAGATCCCAACAGCAAAAACCACGTGTGAAGGGACAGGGCCGATGAGGACAATCTCGCCAATGTGGAGATAGTCCTCAAAAAAATATCACCACTTGCAGAATACTTGAAATCACTGAATCAATTCCACTGGTTAACATACAGCAAAAAAAACACTTGTCATTTTCAAAGCAACAACATGTTAGTTATATGACAACACTGCGCCAGCTAAATGTGGACAGTTAATAAAGGTTCCTTATGAGGGTAGGAAATTTTTATTTTCAAATGATTTGATTTTTGTATTTTAAAGTCTACACTAACTTATCAACTTTAAATGATCTGTATGAGAAATACAAAACAAACTAGCCAATTCTCACTATTGAAATTTCTTCAAGTTTGGAGTTTTTCATAAGCATCAAGCTTGAAACAATTTAAACCCTGACCTACATCATTTTCACACTTTCGTATCCATATATATTTATGAATTTTTGTAAGAAAATGATGATAAAACTTTTACTGAAAAATATTTTTGATAGTTACCTGAATTTTGTGGTTTATAACCAGAAGCCATTTCCAGATAGTGTGATTCCACATGTCCCTCAATCAGCATGGATCTTGTATAAACAGGCACGTCATTCAGGTTGCCAAATATTGAAGGAATAGGAACAGGAAATGGGACATCATAAATGTGTGATTCAGGATCTTCATTGTCCTGCATACATTCTGCAAAAGCATAAAAAAGTTTTAGTACCTTAAGGAAATATCTTTTAGAAAAATACTTATTTTAATTTTTTTAAATATGTGTAAAATTTGAATAATTTTAAACAGGAAAATTTATTTATCATTTATTTATATCAGTTTTTATACAGACTAAAAAGTTTAGATTAGGCTGATAAAACATGGCCCGTAACTGTTTGTTATGTTTCTCTGGTATGAGTGTTGAATAATTTTAAACAGGAAAATGTATTCATCATTAGAATTTTATATCGATTTTTAAACAGACTAATTACACAAATTGTAATTCATTACCATAAATTGCTTCCATCGTTCCATCAGCCGAAGAATCAAAACCGTCACTCTCGGTCAATTTCTGCACAAAAAACAAGAACATGTTCAATACTGTTGTTTGTTGATACATCAACCTTTTGATATATTTATTCAGATATTACAGCTCACACCAAGTAACAACTCTTGTAAGAAAAAAACAAAAAACAGGAGGGAGTGTAAAAAAAAGTCAACAGCAGAACAGTTTATTTTATTTAATCCTCAAGTAACCATATTGCTTTAAGTAATTTTATGTTTGTACTTGTTACAAGACGTATAAAGAACTGATCAAAATTAGGTTAAAGCCACTAATTTCTAAGTAAACTACCTAGGAAACTTCCACCAGTAATTAGTGAGATTAGATGCTATATTGCTAGTATGTATTGTCTACATTCTTTTGAGTAATTCAAATGTTACTAGGAAAACCTGTAACTAACAAACCCATGGATCCACAAGCAATTTTGGGCATAAATAATTTAAAAAAAATATGTTTAAAAATAGATGGGTCCATAATGGTTATTCTAGAGTTAATAAAAAATTTAACTTTGTTAGAAAACATCCCATAGTATGAATCTAGCTAGGCTGATAAGACATGGCCTGCAAGTCTTTGTTATGTTTCTCTGATATGAATGTTGATGTCTGTTACAATTTGTTTATTCAAATTACAAACTTATCTTTGTTAGAAAACATCCCATTGATAAGACTCAATTTGACTCATAACTTTTTGTTAGGCTGTTATGATACAAGTTTTGTTATATGATAAAGTTTCCTCCTTTAATGATGACCTTAACTTCATTAGAAATCATTCCATGTTGTTAATGGACTTGTGGTGATAACACCTGCTGTAATTTGCAACTCTCTTGTCAGTTTGTTGTGGTACAAATTCTGCTGCCTGATTTAAGCTCTTTTTTTTTAAAGAAATACAGGATATAATAAAAGTAAAGTAAATCACTGTACAAGTGTTTGAAAACCTTGTATCTTTGCCACTTGTCTAGTTTGTTTATGAAAACCCAAAAAGTTTTAAACAAACTTCAGTAAAATAAATATGTACTTAAATGTCAACATATAATGTTGGAAATAATTATTGAAATTGTGAGGTAAAAGGATATGGGAATTCCACCTCTTTAATGCATGAAAATTAATTGCACCAGACTACAGTCATGTTTTGATGTTTTACACTGTGATTGGTTGTAATCCAACCAATAAGAAACTTCCATGCCAGTATAAAGCCTATAACATTTCAGACAGTCATATTATGCCCAATAATAGTAGTGTATATCATGTCATGGATTCTAGGACTGATATATCATATAGCAAGAGAGTAGAAATCAAAGTTTTGGCTGGTCAAGGAGGCTCTAGAAAGATAAAAAAGGTTTCAGCCAGACTCCAAGTGTCAACACAAGTTGTCAGCAAGAATGGAATTGTTAATACCAGAAGAAGTAAAAAAAACAAAAAGGAAACTAAAAGCTAACTACCCCAAGATATGTTTTTTTATAAGACAGGTGAAAGTCAAGTACAGATATTGTGAATGTTACCTCCAGAACAGCAAGAAACACATTATCACAAAGTGATCTCAATGGCTGTGTATCTACTGAAAACTGCTGCTAAGAAGAAATAACCAAACAAAAAGGTTGAATTGGCATCATCCAATAAATGGTGTGATGAGCACAGCTAGAAATGCATGCTCTTTCAGACTCCTTCAGTAACAATTGATGACATTATTCAATGAAAGAGAGAAGGATGTCATCACAGTCAATGTACAATATCTACAGTAAAACATATTGGAGGGATCATTTACACCTCCGCCAATACTGTGAATGATGTATATAAAGCTGTAACACCATGACTGCTTATAAATAGAGTTATATTGTGATCCATTATGTCATTCTCTTAGGACAATGACTCACTTGGCATGGATTCATCTTCCAGCAAGACAATTATCTGATCCCAGGCATATAGCAAATGTGATAAAATGATACATAGATGGTAAAGAAGCTGGTGGAACACTCACAACCATGCTTTGGTCTGCACAAAGTCCTGAGATGAACATGCTTGGGGCTGTATAGACTTATGTGAAAATTGAGAAGGTCAAAAGCCAACCAAACAATTTGCAACTTGGATGAATTTTAAAAAGTAAATCAGAAAATTTGTAATAATACATCACAATTTTATGTTGGTCAACTATATGTCATCATAAAAACAAATGTAATACGAAATACTAGTGCATTGCACATAATATTTTTCTTTTATATTTTTGTATTAATGTTTGTACCATTTATTAATACATTTCTCATTCTCATCATGTATGTATATTGCTTGTGTGTTTTGATAATTATTTCCATTAATATTGTTGCGTCATCGAGATCATGT